TTTATAATAGGAATGCCGCATTATGTATATTTATAAATAATCACTTTATTGCACTAAAGATCGAATATACAGAAAATGAGAAAGGAAAAAAAACAAAAACAGCACATGGGCCAAAAAAAAAAAAATAAATAAAAGGAACACACAAAAAAACAAAAAACAGTATTATATAAATACAGTAGAACCCTTATTAAGGGGACACCTTCGGGACCAAAAGTGTCCCCATAATAGTGGTGTTCTAACGAAAAACTTGAAATTGTCCCATTAATAGGAGTTTTGGTATGTTTTTGTACAATGATGACATAGGTTCTTTATAATTTTATTTTAATTGTCCTAAGAATGAGTTACAGTTGAATTATAACTCATTTATAACAATAATTTGCAATGCAAAAAATAATTCATCAACCGATATGTAATTAAAACTACAAAAGTTGTATAGACCTAAGTTCCTGATATTAATTATTTCTTGATTATAGTGTAATAATAATGGTCAAACATTCTTTTTTTCAAATATTGAGCTTTCCATTGTATGTACAAAATAGAATAGCATGAATAGAGTATATGACTTAAGTTGAAATCAGTCAGCTGTACGGTATACATTAGTCTACAGTACCGGTCTCTCATTTTTTTGACTTCTTGTGGAGGGGCGCCATAAGCGTTTTCTTTAAAAAGATACCGGCGCTTTAAAAGTTTTTGTTGTTGTTGTTTTTTTTTTATATTTATTTTTTATTATTATTATGATTATTATTATGATTATTATTATTATTATTATTATTATTATTATTATTATTATTATTATTATTATTATTATTATTATGATTATTATTTATTATTATTATTATTATTATTATTATTATTATATTATTATTATTATTATTATTATTATTATTATATGAAAATACACAAAATAAGAAATCCTCATGATTAATTGTGAAAATTGACAAGATTATTTACATTGCAAAATAGTTAAAAAAATTAAACAATATTTATTTATTAAACTATACTATTATTTCGAAAAATATTATTTTGATGGCATTAAATGGCATTATGTTCAGAATGCATTATTGAATATTCAAATCAAATTGGTGAGTAGCACCGTAAACAATATA